CCGAACTCATCTCATGTCTCCGGTAATGGCAGCCGCCGCTGGTATCGTTGGAAAATTGGCGGATGTCCGGAAATTGACAAACTACAAGGCTAGCCCACACATTGAGGCATTCAAAGCTCCGGCACCAGCAAGCAAACCAGCTGTTGACCAGAGTGTCGCCTCTGACGAATCAGTTCCGGAGACATCGGGTGATTCATCAGAAGTTGACACACCTGCTTCCGAAGATGCTGCTACAGAAGCGACTGGCTCATCAGGTCTGCCCAAATTCATCGTGCACAGCGGTATCGCTGCGCCGATGGATCGCACCAACGTCGACACCGATGCCATCATTCCTAAACAATTCCTTAAGACCATCAAGCGTACCGGACTTGGCTCGGCCCTTTTCAACGGCTGGAGGTACAACGAGGATGGCACGCCCAACCCCGATTTCGTTCTCAACCAGGAGCCATACACCAAGGCAAAGACACTTGTAGTCACCGGTTCCAATTTCGGTTGCGGAAGCTCTCGTGAGCACGCTCCGTGGGCCCTAAATGACTTCGGCATTCGCTGCATCATTGCCCCTTCTTTCGCGGATATTTTCTTCAACAACACGTTCAAGAATGGCATGCTCCCTATAGCCATCACGAACGCAGCTGATCTCGAGAAGATTGCTGCAGAGGCCCGCGCCGGCAAGGAGATCAAGGTCGACCTTCCCAACCAAGAAATCCTTGACGAAAGCGGGCAATTGATTTGCAAGTTTGATGTCGAGGAGTTCCGGAAACACTGCCTCGTCAACGGCCTCGATGATATTGGCCTTACTCTACAGCTCGAGGATAAGATTGTCGAGCATGAGAAGAAGGCTTCACAAATCACACCATGGGTCAATGGCACCTCCTACCTCCGTAGAAAAGGCGGCAAGTTGGCGGTGAAACCCGCAAAGGTGCCGACGACGAATCGCGGACAGGAACTTAAGGATCCTATCGACTGGTGATGGCAATATGAAGGGGGCAAAGAAAACCGGAGTTTTAATGGCTGGGCATATTGAGAATTTATTTTTTTTATTTGTATTCCATAGCACACTGGGTTGGAATCGTCCGTTCTGCCATTTGCAACTTTATAATTTGCGTGGGAAATGAGAATACGATACTATGGTTTGGGGCCGCCAGATCGGCCCCTGCAATCATCACCTTTCTCTGCGTTTGATGTTCCTTCTACCTTGTGCATATCTTGTTTAATATGGGAGTGATTGTGTATGTTCAACGCCGCGGATGCGGTCCCGGCGCTTTACGGGCTCAAGAGAGTGCTTCAAAACGTCACTTAACCAATGTTACGTTCCCAGCCTGCATTTTCGCCGGCTGTCGGTTCGAAGAATCAGTTTGCTCTTTGTGTTGCTGTGTTCACTATTCCATCTAGCGCACCACTTACTACTCATCCGCTGCTACAGCTTGTTTATTAGTGTACATTCCCGTTCATGTTCGGGGGCGCGAGTTTGAAGATCGGCTTGTTGATGAGGGACTTGAGCTAGGTGGGAGATGCTTTTGTATTGGAATGCTGTCTTTGAGGACACCCTTTGTTCCTCGCGAGGATATTCCACATCTTGGAAAGGATAGGCTACGCATTTTAGGAGTTGTTGATAGGATGTGATGTGTAGTTATTTATAGGTGATGGAGGGTAGACATACTATGTTCGCGGTCTACCGATCTGTCGCGGTTCGCATTACGCATGTATGTATGGGATCCGTGCATTGTATCTTACACGTAAGATTCTTTCCCAGGCGTCGAGATTGTATGAAGTGTATATTGTAATAGATATGTACATATATGTGTGGCTTAGACGGGGTAAAGAAGTCTACACCGGTCGTGATAATGACAATAATTCGTGTAATGAAGTTCTCGCTCGCGATAGCGACATAAGCATAGCTAGCTTTCATGGAGCCGGAAATGCGTTTCCCCCCAAACGTCGTTTTAGATCGTGCCTACGTTCGTGTCCCACCAGGTCTTCCAGTCTACGGTCTTTTTCCCCTGCCTGGCTTCCTCGGCTGCGAATACCATCGCGTGGCTACGGATGATCTCCTCTAGACTGCATCCGATGAACTTGTGCTATTCGAGGTCAGTACCTAGCCTGTCAATTGCAACGTCGGACAAGTAAGAGATAAAGTGCCTTTGGAGCCTGTAGGGACGGAAAACTCCCTGGCTGAAGTACTCTCTTCTCAAGAAACGCGTGGAGGAAATGCCACGGCAAAGGTAACGGGATCAACTGACCTGAGCATCTTGTGCCTTGCATCCATTCTTGACACTATCGACCGCAAGGACAAATTGTCTAGTGAGTCCGTGATCACCGCCACCATGACCAAGACTTTCCAACTTAGGCCTGTAAGTCCTCGTCTCGCCTGTCCGGAAATCCTCGACCGTAATCGTCTTAGAATCTGCGTAGATCTCGCCCTCCGTGCCGTAGAAGTACGTGTATCGATCGCATTGCTTCTTCGTCTGTGCGATCATGTGGAACGTTGCCTGCTTCGCGCCTCGTGCGCCCACGGAGTCATTCGTCGTGGCACTGGACGAGGGCAGCGGGTCGTCGTCCCACGTCATCACCACGACCTGCTCGTCGCACACGTCGTTGTCGGACTCGAACACGCAGCGACCGAACCAGTTCCTGCCGTCGATCACCTCCTGTGGCGTCGAGTCGTCGTAGTCTTCGGCGAGCTTCGATAGCATGACGTCTTTTGCCTTGTGCATGTCGCCTCCGAAACTCTCGATGTCGGGGATCACAACGTTGACGGGCCATAGGACATTGCCTGTCTCCAACCCTCTGTATTTCGGGCCCACGTAGACTCGCTTGCTGGAATACAGGCAGTCTTGCTCGACGGGGCAGCTGAGGCAGTTTGTGGCGGCTCCTGCTGCTTTCGGTTTCCTGATTTTTCGGAAGAATTGCAGGGAGCCCGCGGATGAAACGGAGGTTGGTAGATGTTCTGGGGCGTCGGATCCAGGCGCTGGGGAACACAGGAGCCACAGAAGGATATCGATGTCATGACAGCTTTTCGTGAGGAGTGACGGGGCTGTGACTGATTCCTTTCGCCAGTTGCCGCGCACATAGCTGTGCGCAAAGTGCCACAGTCCTATCGGCTCGGTATGATGGACGCTCAGTATATCGCCGATAAGCTTGTCTTCGAGCAGGAGTTTCCGCAGTGTCATGTTGTGAGGCGAGTAGCGCATCACATGTCCGATGGAAAAGACATTGGTCGTTTGCAGCGGCGCCAGTGTGCGATATATGTTGATGCAGTCCTCGAGCGTCGTGGCGAGCGGCTTCTCGCACATGATGTGAAGACCGAGTGGTGCGAGGTCCATGATCACGTCATGGTGCAGTTCGTCCCGCACGCAGATGAAGGCCGCGTCGATTCCCTCAGGGACGCACTCGCCTGCCTTTTGTCGTTCCCGACGGTCTAGTTCCCACGTCACGAATTCTTTCCAGTGCTTGAAGCTCGTTCCATCCGGTGGTGGCGTCTTCACACCCCAGATGAACTTGGCTCCGAAGTGTTGACGCTTGGAGTCATCTGGTTCGGCTACGGCGGAAACCACGCCGTTGCTTGATTGCAGAGAACATACAGCATATGTGTGGCCGCGAGATCCAGCGCCGATGATGAGGAGCCGTGGTGGCTTCGCGGACATTGGGGGTGGAGAGGGAGGTCGAAGATCCGCATCATGTACCAGGTCGGCGGGCCTCTCGTCCCGCAAGTTGTGTGGCGCCATGGTATATTCGTGATCAACCGCAATGCAGTAAGATAAAAAAAAAAAAAAGATAAGTAACGAGGGTTGGAGCAAAGATGGGTTGTTGTTGGTCGCGGCACACTTTACACTTTACACTTGTTACTTATTATATATATACTCACTCAGGTGGGCAATAAGTTGGAGATTCCGTTTTCCAGATAAGCAAGCTTTCCCGGGAAAAGAACTTCTTTGTATGCAATGCAGATGAAGGATGGGTGACGTAGGGCGGTGGGCATGGACAACCTGGTGCTGTGCAATGTATGTTATATGCTTAGATCACATCGCGAAATGCTGTTGCCAACACATGGATCTGGAAGTGGTGGTGTCAGATGACTGGTGCCCATCGACATGTTTCCCGGCTCGATGTCCAAAATAGGCAGAACGAGCTGGATCTTACAATGGCGATGTTAGCGTTTGCGATATCACAATTACCTAGTATAAGGTTAGTCTCCTTCGGGACTCCATTCAAGAGCCACTTGCTACAAACATACAGGCCCGTGATCTTCCATTGGTCGTCTTGATGGCCTTTTTCTGGTGCTAGATAACGCCGGTTCTCACCGGCATCTCACTTCATCGAAACTTGTCCCATAAAGCTTTTGTCTGTTTGATGCATCAACAAGGAGCCCCACTGTCCTCGACTCTTCCCAAGGAAGTAAGTATGTAGGTAGAAAGAAGAATACCTACTTAGGTATAAATAAGTAACGTCTCATCTGGAAACATAATACTAGCATCTGAATGAGCGGCACATTTGTGAGTGTAAAGTAGGTATACGTACTTATATATACATTGGTGGGAGTTTTCCACTTCACGATAATTGGCGGGCAAAGGTGTGCAACATGTCACATCATCCAGACTGCGGCTTGATAAGAGGTGGCGAGATGGTAACGAATACCTACAGCAAAGCAACATCTAACACTATATTTATTTGCCACCAGGAATGGTGCGGAGCGGGGGAGATGAAAGTTATGAACCTACGGAGGTATTTTCTAGGCGAACCGGGTTCCTAGAACTCAGATAAGTAGATATTTCAATTGTTGGGCGTAGGTAGTAGGTACACTACCTACATATTGCAATGCCGGCAAGACAAGGAGAAAAGACAAGAAGAGCGAAAACCACAGAAAAAGGGAAAGAGAAACAGAAAAAGAAAAGCCGGCTAACTGAATCCAGGACAGAATTTGGGCGCAATTACGGACGTATTGATTGACAACTCAAGTAACTAATGCAAATTCGGTCGCAAAAAGCAAAAGAGAAATTCAATGGACCGGTAGGGATTTGAACCCTAGGCCTCTCGCATTCCGTAAGAACGAAGATGCAAAGCGAGCGCTCTACCCCTGAGCTACAGGCCCATGATGTGAGATGCAAGTCCCCACGTTGGGTTGGTACTTGATGGTGGCAGCGTAACATCGCTCGGTGAAGAGCAAGAACCTTCGCCACTCCAACTACCTACTTATGACCGAGTAATGCCGTAACGCCGACAACTCAACACAACACAAAAGTCCCATTTGCGACGTTCAGCAGCCGACCTTAGACCGACCTAGATAGGTAGTAGTTTTGGACTTTGTATTTCCCAGACCGAATGCATAACTAAATACGGAATACGGATTAGTACCTAGGCAAATGTTGTTGTGACGGAATAGCATTTCCGAAATACACCGGCGAATTGAACGGGTGTTATATTTCCTGTGCCGGGTACGGAGCCGTAGGTAGTCTTAGTGTGAAGTTCCTATCTCCTCACCTGTGACCTCGGTTCCTTACAGCATGGAAAATACCTACACTTTACACTAGGTAGACATAGCTTTTACACTTACCCCCACACTATGTAGATAATGATTCCAATGTATGGAATATGTCGTCAGGCGACGATACCCTATACGTACCTAAGGTAGGTATTCCCAGTCAGCCACTATCACAACCAACCCTCGTCTGACCTAAGAACTAACGGTCCTGGCGCCCTCTCACCGAGACTCTGAGCCCTTACACATCAGGCAGGCCATTATCGCTACCAACCTTATCGATGTTCGGCTACATATTTAGCTGGCAATTGTCTTCCATCCGAATTTTTTATTGCCACATAACGTGCCACTTGCAATCTTAGGCTTGGATAATACAGTCGGTCTTTGTCATATGTGTTGGGTAGGTAAGTACGGTGCCTTGCTTATTTATACCTAACAATGTTGAAAATCTTTATCGCTCGGCACTTCGAGACTGTGAACCGCGATGCATGCTTGGATGTTCGATCATAAAAGTTCCTAGCGGTAGCGAGTATGACCTGAACGAGGAGGTGCTGAATGTAGCTCGTGAAGCGTCATGCAGTATCGAATCCCATTTGCGCCGGGCAATCTTAAAGTGGGATCTGTCCAGTCTTCTCAGATGTGTAACGTGTGAACAACTATTAGAATTAGGTGATCTACTCACCTAACCGCTCACCATTCATCCGCTCCTTTCAGCGGCCCATTGTTGGCGAGGACGCGATTGAGTTTTACTTCACTTACCTACGCCGACGTCGGCAAGTACATGAGAAGGAAACAACGGGGCGGCGATCAATCATGAGGTAGCGGGCTTCTCGATTAAATTACCTGTCTATCGGTAGTCAGGATGATCAGATAGGCTCTTGGGACAGCTGTAGCTAGCATACTTGGTCTGTCGGAGTTTGGAAAGACGATGGCCATGTTGTCTCTATGGTGATGTTTCCAGCTTCATATAGCTTCAACGGTTGCGATATACTTGATCGAATGTAAGGGTGGCACATATATAGCACAACCGGCTTCGAATCGCAACCCCGGGCTGTCGTGCGCGGGCTTCCAAGAAAAAATTTGTGATTGTGACTTATTTCCTAGCAGGTCCCAGTTAAAAAAGAAGGGGTATACAGCACCTACATCCATACAAGAGAAGAATACAAACAGAATGTGTACACGGGCCGATGATAATCCTATTCACTCATGACCGTCTTGCCCACGAAGATAAGCAGCCCAGTCTACGGGCGATCCCCGCTTTCCATTAAAATCATCGCCTTCTTTCCAACCTACACCATCCCATGCGCCTAAACCACATAGATGCCTCATCGTTGGCCGACCGTGTGGACAGTTCCAAGGTTTGTCTAGCTCGCCCATGTGTCGAACAAGCTTCTCCATCTGCTTGGTTGATAGCGACTTTCCAATCATGACGCTACTTCGACAAGCGCGCATCGCGAACATCTTGCGGACCTTCGAGGGCCGCGGGACTGTGTTGGCTGATGTGGACTGGTGGTCTTGGAGAAGCGATATGAGCTCTTCCAGGTCCGCGAGGGAGAATGTGGTTTCTCGGCTCAATGGCAGACTAAGCAATTGGCACTTGCTTCCGACGGGTTGGTCACCACTATCATCAAAACTGACCACGAATCCGTTTGTTTCCAAGGCGTCTATGTTCTGCTGTACTATATCCTCTTCTACAGCCGTGAGCTCCAACGTCTTGGGATTAACGAGTTTCTGAGACTGCACGACCGTGTTGGCCTGTAGCCGCTCGAAATTATATTTTTCGTCGGTCGCGTGTTGATCGATAATGAATAACTCGTCGTCTCTACCAGTTTTTTCCAGCATAGCTGCGGAGTTCTCTTCAGCTGTGCGAGAGGCTAGGATGAATCCTAGATTGAATTGCCCTATAATTTTCATCTTCTCGAAGTCCGACTTGGCTATGCTTAAAGATAGCTTCTCTTCAGCATCTTCCCTGTCAAGTCGATCTGTCTCTAACATGGCTGTTGAGTTGGATGAAGCGCGTAGTATGCGCTTCTGTTGTAGATTCAAGGCATCACTGATTACCTTTTCGTCCACATGAATTGTTTGCTGAAGATGATAAGTGGCGTCCTTCTTCTTAGTACTACCCTTGACGAATCCCCGAGTGCGTTTCTCTATTTCCGCTGAGGTTTTCTCTTCCGTAAGCTGGTCATTTTCGATATTTTCGTCATTACTTTCAGCATTCGCTTCCGGAACTGCTTCATCTTTATAATCTAAATCGTCAGGTCTCACTGAAGATGCTGGTTCGGCATCTGAATGATGGTCAGAGTTTGGCTCAGACTCTTCCATATTGTTGAGCGAAGAGCTCTTCTGATCTCTGTTTTCTCCTCCTTCTTCTTCATCATCGCTCACGAAGAGACGTTCACTTGATGACTCTGAATGTTGTGAACCGTCCGCGGATATGGCCATAAGCTGATTCTTGTCAGACTGCGATTTCTCGGCTTGTGCGGCAAACATCTGGGTTAATCGGCCATTGAAAGAGGGAACAGGTCCTGGTGCTTTAGAACCTTTTCTCTCAGATGGATGCCGCGTTCTTTGATTGTCAAGGCGCTGCTTTTTGGATGCCGAACCGATAATGCTCGTAACGGTATGATCACCTATCGTGATCGTAGCAACTTCCGGTGCAGCTCGCTCTGAAGATGACGAAGAATAAATTTTGTTAGACTTAGCATCCGCGATTCGAGCTGGAATAGCAAGCGCAGGAATCGGCGGCTCCGACAAAGCACTCCCAGTTGGTGCAGAACTGTCCATGACTTTGCCATTCTTCCTATCCCTCAGTGCCTCAAGGCGGGCACGAAAATCTGCTGTGTTTTGAGAAACTTCAAGTGATTCTGTACCTAGGGGTGATTCTTCCTGTTCGCCCCCACGAGGGAATGTATGTACCGGGTCTCCCTTCGGTTCAGAATCCTCTACATCGACACTTTCTACCATCCCATTGTCTTCTGGTAAACTCCCCTTTGATTGTGCAAGCACGCTCGTAGAAACCATTTCATTGGATTCATAGCTGCCCTCAGTACCGTCGTCATGGGCGGCTTCTGACAAGGGTGTGTCTCGCCTCTTCGAAGAGGACTGATCCAGGATGGATTGCTTTGGTGCCTGGAGTTGCGAGGTCGGTAATGCATAGTCTTGTGATTCAAACAAGGCGCCGAGTAGCTCCCTAAGATTATCTAGCATCCGAGTTTGATCATGTAGCAGGATAGTTCGCTTGTCCGGGCTAACATTAACATCATAGAGATGCGTATCAAGCTGGATATCAGCAAATATGAAAGGTGATTGTGAAGCATTATAGGACTTGTACACCTCATTGAAGACTTTGGCAAACTGTGGCAGCCCACATGGACGGCCATTGACGAAAAACATTTGCCTATCCGGGGTTTGCCGTCCTTCGCCATGTGCTGGACGAGAGACGTGCCCTCGGACGCGGATAGTTTTAGCTTGTGTGTCGGCCGAGGCCGTGAGTCGCGGGCCCGGTGCATGAGTAGGTTCCAACTCGAGTTTCAGATCCAACGGGATTAAAACGGCCAAAGTCTTTGCTCCAAATACATTTACAATGTTTTCGCGCGTAGTTTGGTTCCCTTTTGTTGAAAACAGCACCATGCGCTTACCTTTATTCGGCTGCTGGGACACAGAAAATTTAAGTCCGGTCTGAATGCATGCATACTGATTGAGAATGACTAAAACCTTATTCCACTCCCGTTTTATATTCCGCTCGAGCTCGCGACGGCGCACGGGTAGATTGTGGAAAAGGTCGTGAACCGACACGGTAGTACCTTTCTGTGCGGCAACCACGGTTGTATCTCGTAGCTTTCCAGATGTTTCGAACTCCAGTCTTGAGCCCTTTGGAGCATCTGAAGCCAGGCATGTGGTGACTGTGAATTTGGACAGGGCGCAGAGTGACGACAGGGCCTCGCCACGGAAACCAAAGGTCTCGAGGGATTCGAGATCCGAGTAGGTGGACAGCTTTGAGGTGTAATGCTTTAATGCCAAGGTGTGGTAATTTTCCTTGGATATGCCTGAGCCATTGTCCTGAACCTCGATGACGTCTAGACCTTGGTTCTTGAAACGAACCTCTGGGGAAAAATACGTGAGTTGGGTGGGTACGGGCCGTTTTCAACTTTTTGCCCACTCACCGATATTAGTTGCGCCGGCATCTATGCTGTTTTCCACTAGCTCCTTTACGACAGAACACAGATCAACAATGACCTGGCCAGACTGAATTTGGTGGACCTTGGAGTGAAGTGAGCAACGAGAAGGTCCCCAGTGTCAGGAGACTTATATCGCTTACTGTTTTGGCTTCAATGGGTTTGATGGTCGCCATGTACGGCGTTTTCTTGAAAGCAGATGCGTGCTAACAGAATTGAACTATGACGCTCCCTAGTTATTGGCTCGTTAACTGCGTTCCAAAAAGTGAAACTGACCGTCGTCAGTGACGCGGTCCTCAGGTACGGTTCTCGCGTTAAGTGGTTGGAGTTCTTGGATACTGCGATAACGAGTGTATTACGTAATAAATGATTAGTAAGCTATTGGGCAGGTACCTAGCGCAGGTACCTACCTACCTAGGTACCTAGGTACCTAGT